ATATATATATATATATATATATATATATATATATATATATATATATATATATATATAGTATATAGTATATATATATATATAGTATATATATATAGTATATATATATAGTATATATATATATATATAGTATATATATAGTATATATATATATATATATATATATATATATATATATATATATATATATATATATATATATATATATATATATATATGTATATATATATATATATATATTTAACAAATATGAAACATTTTCCGTGTTGATATACAGTTATATCAACACGAGTGGAATTGGGGAAACGAGAAATTGTATGGAAACACGACACCCGAAGGGCGGAGTGTTTTCATACAATTTCGAGTTTTCCCAACTTCCACGAGTGTTGATATAACTATATATCAACACGGAAAAAATGTTTTATATTTTTTTTATAATATAGCAATGTCAAAAGCCCGAAGGATAAGAAAAATTTCCGTGTTTACAAACGGCGGAAAATTTCCCGTGTTGACATTGAGTTATATCAACACGGCTCTTAGCCAATCAGCGTTGAGAATTTACAAATGCTATTTTATAAATATATATATATATATATATATATATATATATATATATATATATATATATATATATATATATATATATATATATATATATATATATATATATATATATATATATATATATATATATATATATATATATATATATATATATATATATATATATATATATATATATATATATATATATATATATATATATATACTATATATATATATATATATATATATATATATATATATATATATATATATATATTCATATATATATATATATATATATATATATATATATATATATATATATATATATATATATATATATATATATATATATATATATATATATATATATATATATATATATACACACAATTAAGAACTAAACAAGACAGAAAACATGTCAATGAATATTTCGTGGCCGGATGCCCACAACAGCTTGTGAAGCCGATTACTGTGGTATATATATATGGCACTCTGGCCCCATGTCACTCTGCGCATGTCTGGATGCGTTGATGGCTCGTGTTGTACCACATGCGCTTGGGAGAGCAAGTGTCATGTATATCAATACGAAGGTCATTGCGTGTCTAGATGTGTACCAAGCTGCACTGATGAGGCGTAGGACGCCGAAACATGCATGTCTGCAGATTGTACTATATATATATATATATATATATATATATATATATATATATATATATATATATATATATATACATACATACATATATATATATATATATATATATATATATATATATATATATGCATTTTCATCGCACACATTGGGAAAACTACTCGACATGACTACATGAGCAACATCGTTAACACGATCGTTCACATTTCTCTCCATTCGGTCGCCATTTTGACCAAATTCACGTGAAGAAACTGTGGGTTCTCATTGGCTACTAGTTATATTCGAGCAGCTCAGCACTAAGCTCGCAACATCTGCAGACGTTTAGTAGATTTTTTCCTCGGCCAGGTGAAAATTATCAAACACGATAGACATTTTCCTCATGGCTTCGAGAGATTAAATCCTCACGAAAACTATCCACACACGAGAGAAACATGAAAACTGACCCTCAAGCCAGCTATAGGTCAGCATAAGGCCAACTTAGACTAGACAACTTTTGCATATAAAACTGTCGCACGCAACCTGCTTACAACTTGAGTTTAAATCAAGCACACAGCTCGCTTACATGCATTGTTGTAGGTGAGTTGTACACTTGATTTACACAGTACAACTCAAGTTGTAAGCAGGTTGCATGCGACAGTTTTAGGCTAAAGTTGTGTAGTCTAAATCAGCCTAACATGAGTAGACATGAATCCATAACCGGAAGACACGTTGAGCAACCACCAGTGACCCAAACTCAGTAAAGGCAAGATAATGTGCAGACGGGCAAAAAGTGTCAAGTACGCCTTCGTACTTCGTTGTCTTGGTCAAACTCTCTGTTTTGACGCGAGAGCGACAACTGCCGACATGGGACGTGCGCGCATGCATGCATAGTTGTGTGGGTTCAAAACAAGTTAACAGTATAACTGCAATTACAATGCTGGCCCGCGCAACCGAATTCTAATCAATTAAGGCGAATGTTACGCTATCTGGGTTTGGCCTGCACGTGATCAAAGCGGCGTTTGAACCAATGTTACTCCGACGTCTATAATGCGACAAGTTCTCCGAACTTGTGTTACTATATTCTGCTTTTCTGGCGCGTCTTACTCGCCATAACTTCATACTGAATTCTGTCAAGGTGCATGCATGCATGTCAGCACTAAAGTCGTTATGTTTTCATGCTAATTAAGTATATGTCTATACATACATCTAGACTATAAGTATATATCTAAGTCTAAGGAGTTAGCACGTTCTCGGCACAAACAACTTTCTTAGTTTCTTTAACCGCCCAAAAAAAGTTTAAAATTCCAATGGTTCTTAAGGCCTGATTCCACGAGCGCGCTTTTTGTCGGCGAAATGCGAAATATTTCGCCTGTTTCTTTTGAATTGTGAGCAATCAAGTAGAAATAATTTATTCGAGTGGTCGCAATTCAAAAGAAACAGGCGAAATATTTCGCATTTCGCCGACAAAAAGCGCTCGTGGAATCAGGGCTTTACGCGGCTTTCCGTATAGGGGTGCGAAAAAGCACCTGTCCGATACGGAATGTACAACTTTCGGAAGCTGAGCGAAACAACATCCCTCCGTTGCAATAATTCCTCTCAAAATAGCGTTCCTAAGCACGGACTATGGATAGGTGTTTTTTATGTCGGTACGGAAAACTATCCGGTACAAGTTTAGCCTAAAAGCTATCGAATTCATTGACATGCATATTTCGTTACTGATGTCGCTCCACTTTGAGCTATCAAACCTATTGTGTGTTAAGTGCTCGACTGCTCGTTAGCAGACACATAATGAATGCGGTGCACTGAGCTTTAACGAAAAACGGTTAATCAACGGTTATATATAATAACGGTCGAAACACACAACGGCCAAACGACCGTTTGAATGCTTTGAATTCAGCGAACAGTATAAAAGGAGCATGGCCGAGACTTGTTCAGTTACTGAATTACCGTGCGGGAGCAATTCAAAGTATACAGTGTTAATCAGTTCGTCGTTGAAGTTGCATAAAGATATAATAATGAAGTTATTAGTCATTGTGGCGTTGTTTCTTCATGGAAGTCAGGCCCAGAAACCTTGGGGGCGACTTGTGGCAAGTCCGCTGAATAAAATTCCAGGTGAACAATTTGGTACGTGTGTAATTGGAAATATATGTTAATTTCAGGATGTACATGCACTTTATTTCAGTAATTTCTTCATAGATGCGCTGTCTGGCATGTGTAGTAATACTTATTTAAATTTTTAGTGTTTGTACTTTTCTTTTTGTTACTTATTTTGAGTGCATGTTCATTTCTGGCCGCAATAGTACTGACAGAAAATATTAATAGATTGGAAATGTATCTTAAACGTTGAGCCAGATAACTAAAGTGCAGTCGTGGATAAAATTGTTAATAAAATAGATTGAAATTTCACGGAAAATACATTCACATAATTTCATCAGGTTCCCCTGCCTTCCCACACTCAATGTTGCCATTATTTTCCCCACATTTTAAACGTAATTCAAAAACATTGTGTTAGGGGAAGGGGAGAGGGTATTTTCGGCATGCATCCTAAATTAGCCTTATTAACAAGTACCGTTCCACGATTTGGCAGGTCTGGTTAGACTGTCGTGATGTTTAGTTTGGATCAATGTTTGTACACCGTATGGTATGATATGATATACAGCGAGAATTACAAGACAATACTAATGTTTCTTTGCCATATAGATGACCAGCGATTCCTTCGTCAGGGAGTGCCTGCGCCAGCCAATAGCAATGTATCAGGTAATTATAAGTGAACATTTCTTTTCGATATATACGATTATCACTGGACCAATTTAAAAGACACAAAATTCAACTGTAGAACATACAAATTTTGATAGTATAATGACATCTCAATTGTATTCTTGACATTCAACGTCTTTCTCCTTTTTTAGAAGGGGGCTACAATCTCTTTGCCCCACACAGACACATTTTAACAATGGTATAAACCACAAAGTTAATTAATATTATTTCAGTTCCGCGTGTTGATAAAACAATTTGAAATATTTTCAGACATTTTGTTAGAACTCTGTAAATCTCCGTATAAAGTGCAGGGAATGGCGTTTCAGAGACTCTAGTTTTATTTTTTCCGGGGGGCATGCCCTCGGACGGACGCCCCTAGAATGTCACCCGCCTTCAAAGAGCGCTACGTGTGTCCCCACACACTTGTAGAGCCGCTCCGACTCTCCTGAAAAGTGGGATTTGCGACCGATGTGACCAGAGGCTCTTCCTTCTCGCCCCTCGTTTCTTTCGCCTCGCAAAGAGCCTCTGGAACCAAGCTAGTCTCGCCTCCTAAATATTTTTTTCTCATTCCTCCCTGTGCATGAAAGATGTCCTAATTATTCTCGATACATCGCTTTCTGTCGAGGCGTATTTCGAGAGAAATATGAAACCATTTCTTAAGGAGCTCGTCACAGACAAAGATCTCCATGTTTCTAAATTTGGTACACAGATTGCGCTGATGATATTCAGTGGGGAGAAAAAGACCAAGGTCTTGTTAAAGTTTGGAAAAATTTATGATGCTGATAAACTGGCGCAGTTTATCGAGAAATTGAAATGGGATGATATAAAAGGAGGTTTTACAAGAACTGATATCGCTTTTCAGATAGCGAGTGATAAGGTACAAAATTAATAACTTAATGCCATGATTACTCCATTCATGATTATCCTTTATTTATGAAATTGATAAATCAACTTTTTATTTAAATATTTATATCAAAGAGTTGAGAAATCTGTTTTTGATTCATAGGCATAGCTCAGACTGATCGCTTTTCTGGACTTCATCAATGCTAATAACAGCCTGATTGAACATGACTAGGACTTGTAAATTTAAACTTGTTCAAAACGTAGCCTTTAACTGAGAACACAACGTTCAGCAGCAAATCGATTACATTCAAAGAAGAAGTGGAGCTCTGTTTCGTTTGCTAAACCACAACTACACATTGGTGAGGCCACACAGTTCATCAGGAACAAACGATAATTTAAAATACTATTACGTAAGCGAAATCGAGTATGCAATAAAGAAGCCATGCGATTTCCAGTGATAAATAAAGTATTACGTATTATTACGTTATTTTTTAATTTATTGTGCCGACATTTTCGAAACAGGTGTTCACTAAAAACAATCCAGGAAACAATAGACCTGGTGTGCCAGACGTTGTGGTAATTATCACCGATGGAGACCCTTATGCAGGAAATATTGACAATGTTTTGGAAAAAACAATGGCAAATGCAAGCGTCATCAAGGAGAAAGGGATCCAGATTGTCGGAGCCGCGGTAGGGAATGAGGCGATGAGAGCGAAACTAAGACCCAAATTGGAAGCGATGGCTACGTCAGCGGAATTCGTTGTCGAGGCTGACTTTAAAGATATCAAAACGATTCGTTCGATGCTGATTTCGAAAACCTGTACGCCACCAGGTAAGACCGGAACATGTTTAGCCTGACTAAGGAAATTAATGGCGAAATGATATCGATATTTGATATCGCACTCGCGTAAAAGTTTCAGAACCGGCCAATCAGATGTGCAAGTTAACTACTATAGGTGTACAAAAAAGCGCATAATTCTAAAATTTCCGCTGAACTGAAAATTACGCAAATTTTGTGACAACTTTATGTTACTATGAGTATATAGTTTGAACTCTCCTGGTATCTCTATGACAATATTAGTCTGAAAAGTAAATATATAAGAGTATGCATGGTAGAAAAGTAAAAATATAAGAGTTACAACGCAATTTTAATTCATAGGGTGCAAATTTGTATTTATAAACCATGAAAGTAGTAAACATTCAATTTAATGTGCGTTATGTCTTACGCGCGACATTTAAAACTTGGACTTTCTTGCCAACCAAAATTGTGTTTCAAATCTTCCATTTTTGTGCGCTAGCCATTCATATAAAGTGGTTTGGAAAAACAGCCCTGGTGCCGGGTGCGCACTCGAAAATTTGCTTATTTTATTCAGAATAATTTTGTGATAGAGATAGCTACCAGAAGACATCAAATTACCCATAAAGTTGCTCAATTTGCCTCAGTTGAACTGCCTTTGCCAGTGCATATATGTAGTGCCAATAAAATGAACAAGCTTTCGAATTCGTTGGTAGGGATGCATGCAACAACCTAGCCTGCGAACAGGCTCTCAAGCTGAATCAGTGAACTGTAAATAACCTGTAAATTATTTACAGTTCACTGAGCTGAATTGAGAGCCTGCATCGATGACTAATGAATTTAAATATCTGCCCCGTAACGTTCGCTTTTCCAAATATGGAATGTCTATCCTTATATGGTGTTGTTTACAACTTTCGTGCAAACTAAATTTAGACCGTGCAAACTAAATTTATACCGTACAGTTTATACTGTTTTTCGAAATATAAGATATTCAAGCAAAAGTTTAAATGTTTTAAATACTGTTTTCTCAAAACAGAACATTTCGTGCTTTGAGATAAGATGGCCAAGACCAATTTGATCAGTTAATGTGTTTTTTATGCATAGTGCTTCAGCAGTTGACATATATAGAGCTCAGCGGAAACATATAAATTATAGCATCTGACCAATGAGAATTTCGCGTCACGATTTGAGACGCAGATATTCAAATTCATTAGTCATCGATGCAGGCTCTCAATTCAGCTTGAGAGCCTGTTCGCAGGCTAGCAACAACCTGCCCTATACTGATCAGTATTTTTGCTATTTTTTTCAAAAGTGGAACGATGCGTATGTCGTTCGACAACTTCAAAAACCTATTTGATAAAACCCGGACAATCCAAAGCGACCGCAACTTGGCCTGTGCCACAATACTCTTGCGGTGCAAGAACGAGGGAAACGACGATGGTTGAACCAAACGTGCAGTCACCTCATGCATTCCCTCGTGGTGATCATATTATCAAGTATACGTTTAAGTTTGAAGGTGGTGTAGACGTCGTATGTCCAGTAACAATAATTGTAAAAGGTGAGGATTATAACTGAGAAATTCCGAACAAAAATTATATATACAAGTTAGACCTGAGCATCTGCAAAAATGAAACCATAGGCCCTCTGCGATCTCGGTCATATCATAGTCACCATACATTACCATATCATCATACCATACCATACTGTACCTTACCATACCGTACCATACCGTATCATACCATACTATACCATATTGTACCATACCATACTATGCCATACCATATCATACCATACCATACCATGCCATACCACACTATACCACACCTTACTATACCGTACCATACCACAGTGAATGCAACCATACCATGCATGCTATACCATACCATATATACCATACCATACCATACCATACCGTACCATACCATACCATACCACACCATCCCATCCCATCCCATACCATACCATACCATACCACACCATACCATATCATACCATATCACACCATACCATATCATACCATACCATACCATACCATACCATACCATACCATACCATACCATACCATACCATACCATACCATACCATACCATACCATACAATACCATACCATACCATACCACACCACACCATATCATACCATACCATACCATATACCATACCATACCATACCATACCATACCATACCATACCATACCATACCACAAATAGGAGACTGTTCTCTCAAGTAGTATAGATTACAGAATTAGTTTATTTCTCTATGGGTTTACAGGAAAGATGTGCGGTGAGAAAGCTTTCGATTCATGCAAACAAGATTGCTGTTGTGGCACGATTCATGATCATATGCCTGGATTCAAGTGCTGTGGTCCAAAGTACTACAATCCAGCTGATTATAAATGCTGTGATTATGCTCATCTCGTTTCCAGCCAGAAATCCTGTCCGATCTATTAACTTTCTTTTATATACCATAAATTTCCGTGTTACGCAGTTATAGTTTTGAAGCCCTGAATATATATTACATATATTATTATTACGGCAATAGAATTGCAATATTATATTGTATACATTTCAGAAAGTGAACATAAAATAAAGGGATTGAAACTGAATCACTTAGTTGTGACTTCAGCCGTGTCATTTTTTTACGGGTGTATCATGCCCTGTATTTGATCATTTTTAATTTTGATTGAATAATTTTGGCCATGTTTCCGAAGTTGGGGAGGGGGAGGGGGAGGGGGAGGGGGTGTCGGAAGATTTTACCTGAAATTTGAACTTCAATGTTAGAAATTTACGTGAAGTGTAATAATTATAATAGAGCTTTCTCTGATTAATTTCCACTGTCATACTAAGTTTCGGAAGAAAAGGGGGATCTGGGGGTCCTCTCTCAAAGAAATTCTACATTTTCAGTGAAGTTCCAGAATTACTCATTTCTGGCGTTTTCCAGTGAAGTCAAATTCGCAAACAAATTGGATCTAAGTTGGCTGTATTTTACAAAAATGGTTATTATTTCACAAAAACTAATATAACGACTTTATTACGCAAATTTTACCGGAGAATGTCAAAATAAACTTGAATTTTACCTGATTTTTACCTGAGCTTCACAGTTGGTGGTGGGGGTTACATCCCCCACACCGGTCGCTACGTCCCTGCATGCTGGCGAATAAGTTCCAACACACCAATTTCGGACAATTTATGTCATCTAAAGTGGTCCTAATGATGGGCCTTCGCTCACAAGCATCGAAATTCTCCTTATATTTTTCAGGTAGTTGCATCCTTACCAACGAAAGCTTGTTCATTGATTATTATTATTTGGCAAGCACTATCTACACTGGCACAGACAGTTCAGAAAAGAAATGTGTCCATTGCTCCCGCCAGGGTTTATTTTAAGAAAAATTTAGAACTGCACACATAGGGATGTTACGAAGGCAACGGGTGTTTGACTGGGGGGCGGTCGAAGGATTTTTTACCTGCATATAGGTGACAGAATAATGGTGTGGTTGGGTGGGAGAATTGGAGAAAGGCCGACAAACTCGATTTTGGGTGCGGGAGCTAGGGGTGTTCCTCAAAACAATTTGAATCTAGAGGCTGTTAATTTAAGTTCTGGCAAAGATTTGCTTTACCCAACCACTCACAAAAACTGTTTTGAAACATGTACTGGGAATCAATATATAACAACCTTAAATTTGCATTTGAGGCAGCAAAGAATATTAAGTTCCCCCACTCTAATCTCTTTTGGGGTGCTTCGCTCGCCCCCAGGGGCGGCGCTAA